CCCCGACCCCTCTCTTGCTCGCGTCCTCTCAGCGGTGGCCGGGCCCCGGCCCCGGCCGCCCCGCCCCCACGACCGTCCTGCCGCGCCCGCCGTGCCGCGCGGCGCCGCTCCGTGGCGAGCCGCATAGGCCCCGCCGCATCGCTCTCCGCGGCCGCCGCGCCGCACCGCGTCTCGCGTGGCGTCTGCTGCCGGACCCTCGATCCCTCGCTCGAGAGTGGCTGCGCTCGATAGTCTCGACATATTTAACGTGACGCATGCCCCTGGAATGCTGTGAAACTGTGAATTCTTCTGTAGGTCGAATGGAATTCCCTAATGTGTCCTGTTCATTCGCCTAGGAATTCCCTTTCCATTCATCGTCCGCGATCCGTTCTCGCCGTGCATGAAGTGCACGCGTGGCGCTCGCTCTGTCGACTCGAGTGATCGACTTCTCTACGACATCGATTACTTTCTGCTTGGCGCGCGCCTGCGTCCGTCCATGGCCTTGTTTTGGTGTGCGTGTGTTTGTGTATGTGTGGCCGGAGTGATCCGCAGTCGGTCACCTGAGTCGCTCGCCGTGGAAGATGCTTCTTCTTGTCACCTGTGGACGTGTGCGTTTGTTGTGGTTCGCGTGTGAGGTGAAGCTAGTGCCTGATCTTTGTCCGCGCGTTCGAGAATATCGTCAGCTGTTGTGATACCCGACGCCCTCCCTTTTCTCTGTGAGGTGAGTGAGTGCGCGGCGCGGGCCGCGGCCCGCGGGCCGTCGTCAGCGTCGGGGCCGGGGTCCGGAGGAGCGCGGGGAGCTGCGGAGCCAGGGAATGGACAGGACTGAGGGGCGCGAGGACGGGGAGTCGTGGGAAGTGCCTGCGAGTGAGTGCGCTGGCCGCCAGCTGAGCTGCCTCAGAGCGCCAGCAACAGGGACGGGGCCGGCGCAAGTCCCCGCGGGTACTTTTCGGGTGCAGCTAACGAGGAGCTCTCTACGGTACCCTCCTGGAGGGCCGGGCACGGCACGGCCCCAACCCGTCCCTGTCTCGGTCAGCGAGCTGGAACCGGTAACTCTGCTTTCTGCTGCGCCCGGGCCGAGCCGCGTCGAGCCGCGCCGTGCCCGCGCCAGCCCCCGGGGCCCTGCCCCTTGTTGCCCCAGCCCCAGCACAGGAGGCGAGCCCCCGCAACCCCGCGCACTTTGCGGAGCCCTCTGGGCCTCGCTCGTGGCGCCAAGCACCCAGTGGTGGTGTCGCCCCGGCCCCCCCGGCCCCGGCCCGTCCCCCCCTGGCTGGGCGGGGTAGTCGTTAGTGGTGAGAGGCATTGATAAGACTATCAACCCTTATCCTAGGCGCGACTCGGCACCTTGGGTCAGGCGGACTGCGGGCTTTGCGAGGCCTGCCGGGCCTGGCCGTGGGTTAGGTTAGGTTGGTTTCGCACGGCCTGCACCCACCTCTCTTCCCTCGGGCTGAGTACCTGATTAAGCCCTGTACCTCCTCTCATGTAGGACCCCCGAGCAAGCAGGGCTCCAGGATGAATGGGACATGTTCGTCTGCTTGCGCAGGATTATTGATTCAACCTGTGTTGTGACTGAGCGCGGCTCGGCGTGGCTCGGCTCTTGTTCGGCTCGAGCCCGGTCCCGGTGCTCGTCGGGGAGGCCCCAACCGTGCCGCGTCGAGCCGCGCCACCCGCCGAGTGTGAGCCGCGGTCGCGGTGGAGGGGGTCGGGGGGGGGCAGGCGGGGATAACGCTAACGTACATCGCACGTCGTGGCGGTGCTCTTCGCGGCCCGTGCCCGGCCCCGCGCGAGCCGAGCACTCTGCTGCGTAGCCAAATCTGCTCCTGTTTGTGGACTTCCTCAAGTCGAGCAGGCAGGAGCCAGAGCCCACCTTGATATGACACGAGTGCTCGGCTGGTTGGCGGCAGGCGATTGCCGCTCGGAGGGCTGGGTCTTGATCGCCACTTGCTCCGCTTGGCGCCCTACTTCGGTGGCGCTAGCCCCCC